CTTTTTTCTGTATCTTTCCTTAACAAACTTCTATTGCTTTACTCATTTAAAAAAAAAAAAAAAGTTGTCTGAAAATGTTTTTGAGGGTTCAAACTTTTAACTTGTTCTCACAACATGGATTAGAGCTAAAGAGTAAGAAAGAGACAAACCAACCACGGGATCCTGGGAACATAAGGAGAAACAAACTCACTTTAGTGGAAAGTGCAGACTTTGAATTTCAGAATCTGAATTTCAGAATCTGAAAAGACCTACATTTCAGCAATGTTTGACTCTAGGCAAGGAATTTCATCACTGAGTATATGTTCCTGTATGTCAAAGGGAGATTAGAAAACACATCTTGCAGGGTTGCTATGAGGCTAAGTGATGAGCGCATCTATCAAGATTAATGTTAAACCTCACTCCGTGCCTTGCACATGTAAGATGCATGTTAATAGTCGCTATCACACATATGCGTTCATGTTAAAACTACTACAAAGACTGAAGTTTCCTTTGCCACAGAAAATGACACTCTGAAAACAGACTTTCAATTCCATAAACCTACCATATTTTGAAAGTCAAGTGCTTCTCCATCTGACTTTAGTAAGTTTGTGACATGTTTTAAGGGATCAACATCAACATCAACAATGGTAGCACATTTATTAACAACATAAAATGTCTCTGACACTTTCCTAAGCTTATCTTGGTCATTAAAGTGACCTCAAGGGCAGAAACCCCTTAACTGTCGTCTATCACACAAGTCACAACATTCTCATCTGTAAGGCTTCAGGGTCTCACAAATACCACACCTCATACCAGTGTAGACTCTCCTGTGAAGCTAGTCCCACAGGGCATGTGCAACTAGGAGAAATGACAGACAGGCCAGGATTGATCCAGGAAGCCATGCGTAGTGGGACGTAGAAGCAAAACAAAGTCGCTCAGCCTCTAAAAGGTTGGATTCTGGCCTTCTAAGCAGTATACAGTTGGCTCTTGAATGATGGGCAGCACAGGGGTGCAGACCTCCCCTTGCCGCCAAAAATCTGGATGAAACGTTTGACTCCCCCAAACTTAACTACTGTCAGCTGGAAGGCTTACTGATTACATCCACAGCCGACTGATACATACTGTGACGTTTTAAGTACTAGAGACTATATTCTTAGAAAAGTACACTAGAGAAAAGAAATGTTATTAGGAAAATCGTAATGAAAAGAAAATAAATTTACACTACTGGACTGAATTTATCAGAAAAAGAAAAAACCCACATGGAATTATTCAAGGGTGAACTGTACTTTCAAAACTAAATCAGGATCATATTGCTCTCCGACTCAAAGACCTCCGTTCACTTTTTCTCTCGCTCAGGGTAAGAGTCAAGCCCTTCCGTGACCCGTGGGATCCCACACGAGCTGGCTCTGCAGCAGCCCTACTGAAGTCCGCTCCATTACTCCCCAGCTTGTTCTAGGAGCGCTGGCCATGGGCTGAGCCCTGAACACCAGCACGCTGCCACCAAGATTCTCCTGAACTTCATGCTTCAGGGACACCTTCCCTGATCCCTCTAGTTAAAGGGCATCTCCCTCTCACCCCCAGCACGTTCTTCCCTTCTGCCCTGTCTTCATTTCTCCCCAGTTCAGGCAACTCCAGCTTTTTGAAAGTTCACCTTATGCAATAAAATTCTTTGCTTTTACAAAAGATCTACATTAGTACCTGTTTTTGTCAACCAACAGAAATCCAAAGAGGATTTTTGCTTTTACAAAAAAGGTGAAACATGAAAATGCCATTAAGCATTTGCTTTGCAGTGAGCCCTTATAAAGGCCGTGGGCACCACGGAGCCACAATGAGAGTGGTCCCACCAAGCTCCTTCCGGGGAGCCACGTTCAGCATCTCAACATCAAGCCACCAGAGCTTTGAACTTTGTCTGTGAGCCTCTGCACTTTATCATGATTTATTTTGTGCATCTGTTGCTAAGATATGTCCTAAGATACCAGAAGATGCTGAGAGAAGTTATTTCTGGCATCTGGGAATGCTCAAATATTTTCCAGTATAAATTAATGGTAAATACTTCTTTGGTTTATACCATTTCAGCTTACATAAGTTTTCATAGTGTTCTACTTTCAGATAGCTGGAGAAACTCGTGCTTATTGTCACCTAAAGGATTACAAATTTTAGTCATGTGTCTCTTATCTTTCCACTTCCCAGAAGAATGCAAACTCGCAAGGGCAGTGTTTCTTATCTATTATGTTCATACTTTACCCCCAAGACTCACACACAAAATAGGCTTGGTATAAAACAGTCAATAAATATCTGTTAAACCGTGTGAGGAAGTCAACAGGAATAGGCAGGGAGAGTTCCTAGTGTTTGTGGGATCTGTGAAGTGAAAAGAAAAAAAATGGGGCGCCTGGGTGGCTCAGTCATTAAGCGGCTGCCTTCAGCTCAGGTCATGATCCCAGGGTCCTGGGATCGAGCCTCGCATAGGACTCTCTGCTCAGTGGGAGCCTGCTTCTCCCTCTCCCACTCCCCCTGCTTATGTTCTCTCTCTCGTTGTGTCTCTGTCAAATAAATAAATAAAAATCTTAAAAAAAAAAAAAAAAGAAAGAAAGAAAAAAAAACCAAGATGTATTTTTAGGTGCACACACACACACACACACACACACACACACACAAAGGTAGTCTATAAAAATAAAAACAGATTATGTTAAAACACAGAAATTAAATAAAAAATAAATGAAAAGAATAGAGGTATTTATTAGTTATCATCATCTAATGTGCTTCTAATGTGCTTTAGTATTTGGGTAGCATTATGTCAGCAATCTTCCTACTGTTTAAAGATAGCATCTGAGGGGCACCTGGGTAGCTCAGTCAGTTAAGTGGCCCTGGGACTGAATGCCACATTGGGCTTCACTCTCAGTGCAGCCTGCTTGTCCCTCCCCTTCTCCCCTTCCTCCCCCACCAACTGTGCACAGGCTCATGCTCTCTCTCTCAAATAAATAAGCAAATAAACTCTCTTAAAAATATATATAATCTGAGTGAAAACAAAGGGAAAGAAAAAGAACACAAGAAAGTTGTGGAACTCAATTTCTTTCTCATAATCTTTGGTCTAATGCATGGCTGATAAAACCAAGAGACAATAGTCTCACATCTTTGGTTTTATTTCTGCATTTCCAGAAAATAGAGTAATGGAGAAATATATTTCTATTTGATGCCTAAAAGTTTAAATTTAGTATGTAACTCAAATTAATTCTCAATGTTCCATTTTAAGCCTCCACATTAAAAGAATCTGTGCATTTTATTCCTTAATATAATTTGCTGTGGTCTCAGTGAAAACTGGTACTTGATTTACAGAGTAGATTTTTATTATTAAACTTTAAGCTATTTGTTAGGGATAAACTTAGTGACTGTAAAAAAAAAAAAGTAAAGTTGCTCCAAAAGAAAAATTAAGGGTATAAAATACTATAATTACATATTGTGTTAATTAAGAACTGTATTTTCACAAGCATATTTAAAACTAGTTTAGAAGACGGTGTGTATCTATTGAGAGTTAACACTTTACATTTAGGAGAAGAATGGTCACGAATAGAAGTCAGATTAGTAACCAAAAGCAATGCAGAAAATAAATGTTGAACTTTTTCTGCCCTAGGAAAGCGAGACAGCACGTCACACTGGCCGGCCTGGCATACCTTCAGAATTCAGGTTTTTCTGTCAATGTTACTTGATATGAAGAGAGGGGGGAAAAAAAAGGATTTTTGTAGATATGATTAAAGGATCTTGAAATGAAGAGATGATCCTAGATTATCCAGGTAAGCTCTAACCGGTACCATTTTTATAAAAGAGAGGCAGAGGGTGACCTGACACAGACAGAAGAAGGAAATCCAAGGTGACCACAGAGGTAGAGACTGAAGTGAAGCAGCCAGAGCAGAGCCAAGGGAGGCCAGCAGCCACCAGCGGCCACCAGAAGCTGGAACAGACAAGGAACAAACTCTTTCCTCCAGCCTCCGGAGGAAGTACGTCCCTGATAATACCTTGATATCAACACCGGGGATCTGATTTCAGACTTCTGACCTCCAGAACAGTTAGAGAATCAGTTTTGACTCTTGTAAGCCCCCAGGTGTGTGGTCATTTGTTACAGCCGCCACAGGAAACTCATACAGTATTCAAAGGATCAAACGGCATTACCATAACAAACTCCTTTTGTTTTCACTACTTATTATGGTAACATGTTTTTTAACACTAGCATCTATAAAAATAAGAAAAGGTGAAATAAAATTGATGCCAAATTCTGTCTTACTCTAGTAAAATTTTTTATTTTAAAAATTTGCAGGAAAAAACCCTCTACATTTTACAACACAGAGATGCGTTTCCAATTTAAAAATATATGTATTTTTAAAGATTACTCTTTATGGTTATGACTTTAAAATGTAGAAGAGTTACTTAATTCTTTAAGAAAATTTTACAAATTTTTTATAAATTTTATATATAGTATGTATCATAAATATTTATATTACATAATATAGAATATAATATATGAATATATGATTTATATATGATATTTATACTTATATTATATATGAATTATATATTTATATGTGATATTATATATAAAATATATAAATATATAATATATATTTTATAAAATAAAAATAAAATAAAGAGAACCAGTGTGGATACTTTCCTTGTCTACATGACAACCAATTCAAAAATTAGTTCAAAAACTTATTGTATTAATTTCTCAAACATTGAGCTACCAAAGATGATTATGAAACTTATCTATCCATTCGGACTCTTTATTTTGGCTCCCAAATTCTCATAGAGCATTAGTTAAACAAAGAAGTGTGGGAAAAGTGCAATATTTGTACCCTTACTTTCATTTTGTGTTACATTCTTGGTCTCCCAAACACCAACACCAAAAGTAAAGAAAAGGACTATTTATAATTCTCTTCTATTTTTCTACGTCTGAAGAAAATCTTTGCCATATGATTGAAACTATAACAAACAGAAAAGCAATGATGTGCACTATAGTTCTGTATCCTTACCTAGACCTATGTGAGGCAGATGCTCAAAAAGGGTCCAGCTGTGGTCATCAATGTAATGATTCTTCAGGATCAACAGCTGGCAAACATCTCGGGCAGTTATGTCACTGGGTACCTCTAAAGCCCTGCTGGTTTCATCTTCACTGTATACTTTAATTACCTGTGTAGGTAGAAATAAGAAAATGAGCTAACATATCCTACGAGAAATATCATTCTAATAAGTCATACTGATCGGATGAGCTGATTACGAAGTCCTCATATGGATTCTTATACATTTGATTTTCTAAAATGCTGAATAAATGTTGCCCATCCAAGACTTGTTTATCACCTGTCAAAATTGCTTTGTCCGATGGCTGCCACTCTCTTCTCTTCAGTGTCTAAACAAGAGGACGTTCAGTGACCATTCGACATCATTGCTCTACCATTCTGGTCTAGTAAAAAGCTACATATCTCTTAACAATATTTAAGGTGTTCCATTCCATATTTATATCCTGTAAATTATCCAAGTAATATGGTCAATTTATTCCCAGATATATATAGGTAATAAAAACAGTAAGTAGAATCTGCCTTTATGAAAAGATTTCTCTATTTCAGGTTATGGAAATTTTGGCAAAGACTAGTTAGATGTATAACATTCTTTTTCTTTTTTCCTTTGTAATTAGTTATGTCCATGGAATTGAGTTTTAGTCAGTGGAATGTAAGCACATTCAATGTAAGCACTTTCAGGCCTAATCCATAAAAACCTCCCACATATTGTTCCCCATTCTCTAATCCCACCCTCTAACTGCATGAAAATGACAAAGACCCAGAGGGGAGAAAAGCCTTGGTACAGAAGGAGCCTTCGTCCCTTCATGACCACATGAAAGCTGCCCAACTAAGAACACCCATGTGGAACTCTGACATGAGCAAGAAATAAACTTTTATTGTGTTCACTCACTGTGAATTTGTATTTATCTATTACATCAGCTAATGTAGCTAATGTTACCCTAAATCACACAGAATTAGGGAGAATTTCATACGCAGCACTCTCCTCAATATTTACCAAGTTGCATTATGTGCTAGAATTTTCTATAGTCATATAATTATTCCACTATTTAGTTATATTAATTAATTATAAGAGGATAAATACCTATGATAATAGTATATTAAGAGCAACATATACACATAACACGAGTGGGAACTGGTAAGAAAATTCACTATAAGAAATACACTTGTTACAAAAACAGACATTTCAACATTTTTAGTAATTCAAACAAATGCAAATTAAAATGACATATTAATTCTGTCCTACCAATTTTTTAATTATACTTTATAACAGGACAATGAAATACTTGCTCTCTTACAGTGATAAAAGTGATATAAATTGGTAAAACTATTTTGTACACCTACTGGAGAGTATTCAAAAACATTAAAGGTCCATTCCTTTCACTCAGTAATAGCACTTGGGTAAACTATCTCAGTAACTCTGTCCTAAATATGGAAAATGGCTTCAGGCATAGACCTATCCAACAAAGCATTACATGTAATTCAATCAATCTAAATATTCAAGAATGAAAGAATGGTAAATGGAAGTATTTTCCTAGAATGGAATATTATACAGTGCTTAGAAATGTTATTCAAGGAAATGACATAGGAACTTTCAAAATTTTTTAGGTCAAATAAAATCATAACATCAAACCGTATTTCGCATGGTCCAGGACAAGTTTCCTTGTGGGACTGGCTACCAGGCACCTACCTGTCTTCTTCTAACAAAATTCTGATTGCCTTTTGGAGCACACTGCCTCCCTCACCATGAGTCTTTGTGATTCCAGCAGCTCCCCCACCAGCTCAGCCATGGAGAGCCAGAGCTGTGGGGACCCCTTGCAAGAGGCGGCTGTTAAACATTCAGGAATCGCAAGCCAGGGATCCATCTTGAAATCAGTCACAGTAGGACGATGTAAACCAAAGAAATTAGCAATTGCTACAAAGAGGCCTTTTTTAAAAAAGAAACATTATTTTTAGGGCCAGTTTGCCAGGGCACCACTGCCTCAGACCCAGTAGTTATTATCCTGATTGATCAACCAGCTCCTGGGACCCCTCTGGCGACAACAGTTACTTCACGGAAGGGCACATGACCTAATCAGGGCCAGTCAGAGTAAATCTGGATATCTGTTCACATAACCATAAAGTGGACCCTGTTTCCTACTAGGCAGATGGAGGATGAGCTGTTACTGTTCACAGAGAGAAAGACTGTGGGAAAACGAGATCCAAGTGGAATAAGCCACGTTAAGAGACAGTAAGAGTCCTGAGACTATCTCCAAGCTCCTGGATGAACTGAACTTGATTTCTTATTTTTTTTTTATTAACATATAATGTATTATTTGCCCCAGGGGTACAGGTCTGTGAATCATCAGGCTTACACATTTCACAGCACTCAACATAGCCCATACCCTCCCCAATGTCTATAACCCAACCACCCTATCCCTCTAACTCCCTCCCCTTCCAGCAACCCTCAGTTTGTTTCCTGAGATTAAGAATATCTTGGGGTGCCTGGGTGGCTCAGTGGGTTGAGCCTCTGCCTTCGGCTCAGGTCATGATCTCAGCGTCCTGGGATCGAGCCCCGCATCGGGCTCTCTGTTCAGCGGGGAGCCTGCTTCCTCCTCTCTCTCTCTGCCTGCCTCTCTGCCTACTTGTGATCTCTCTGTCAAATAAATAAATAAAATCTTTAAAAAAAAAAAAAAGAATATCTTATGGTTTGACTCCCTTCCGATCCCATCTTGCTTCATTTTTTCCTCCCCTCCCCCCACTGAATTTGATTTGTGTTTTTATCATAGATGTGCTCTGAGGCTCTAAGAGTCTAGTGGTAACACCCACCTACTAATCTCGCGGGCTCTAGTGGTGGACTCCCTCTCCAATTCAGTCTCCATACGGCTAGCAGAACAAACTTGCTAATTGCCAATCCAATCAGGTCATTCTGCTCCTGAAGTTCCTCGATATTTTCTTGTTGTCCTAACTCACACAGTTCGTCATGTCTACTAAGACTGCTTACAAGGTGCATATCCTTTGCTAAGTGTTTTAAGACAAGGCTGTCACAGAGACTGTTGTTTCCTTCCGAGAGCTTAAAGTCTAGTGGGGAAAGCAATATTTCAAAAATAATTATAACCTAGGGCACAAAAATGCAGCATATTACTAATAATAAAATGGGTTAAGAGAGACCTGGAAGACATCTGTGAAAAAGTGATATCTAAGGGCACCTGGGTGGTTCAGTGGTTAAGTCTCTGCCTTCAGCTTGAGTCTTGATCTCAAGGTCCTGGGATCGAGCCCTGCATCGGACTCTCTGCTCAGCGGGGAGCCTCTTCCCACTCTCTCTCTCTCTCTCTCTCTCTGCCTGCCTCTCTGCCTACTTGTGATCTCTCTCTCTGTCAAATAAATAAATAAAATCCTTTAAAAAAAAAAAAAAAAGTGGTATCTAAGCCAAGACCTGAAGTAGGAGTGGGCAATAGCTAGGCAAAGAGAATGTGAAAGCACTTCAGGCTAAGGGAAGAGAAGTCCTTGGGTGCACTAGTAAAGAAGAAATTTGGCAGGTTCTAAGACTGGGAGGAGTCAGGGATGGCAGTTGTAGCAAAGAGGGAGTCTGGTCCTAAGGAAACTGAAGTGGTGGGCGGGATGGGGGTAAGAAGGATGTATGGTCTTAAGTTCAGAACTGATTTAAGAACCATTGAGCTTTTAAGTCATAAATGAATACATAGACATGGATCTATCTGGTGAGGGAGAAGAGGAAGAACAAAGGAAAAAGAGAATCTAGGACAGAACCTTGAGAAATACCAATATTTAATGGTGACTTAGAGGCAATAATGTCTGAAAGATCAAGTGAGGTAGAAAGGGAACCAGGAAAATGGGGACCCATGGAATAAAGCCCAAACACTAGCGTGCACAGGGCATGAACACTCTCCAGGAAACCAGTCTGCAGAACAGGACATTCTGTGATCCTAGCCAAATATGACAGGTACTTGCAACCTGCTCTTTCTTCATTGCATGTCAGTTATCCTCGACTTGGAATCAATGCTTCAAGCTCCAAAAACATGCTTTATTTGGCAAATTTCTAGCTATCATTTGGCCCCAGTTTCCATGGCCCTGCCTTCAAAAAGTCTTCCCTGACTGCCCAAGGCTTTGTAATTTACAGTGCCTTATTTTGTAATTTTCTATTTGCATGTCTTTCTCCTCAACTGTACTAATAATAAATTCCTTCAAGGAAAATTCTGTTTATTTATCATTCAAGATTGTGTTTCAGGTACCTAGCCCAAGGCAGTGTAAGGATCTTTGGAACAAATGATCTTCGTACCCCTGTAGTGCCAATCAAAGTGTTTTTGACATAAGAAGGACTCAAGATATATTTGTAAACTTTAATTTAAAAATATTTTGTCACAAAGTATGTAATTAAATTGTAATGCTTAGTAAATTAAAATTCTTTTCAACGATCAACAAATACACAAGTTTTCTTACAAATATAGTTCTAGGTAAGGATTGACTCAATATTGCTGCTTGTGGGCAATTCTGAGTTGTGAAGTCACTGAGATTGCTATATGAAGTCATATGAAAAAGGTCATGAAAATACACAGCCCAAATCAGGTCCAACTCTAAGCATCTGTCTTGAGGATGTGTATCTGTGCTAGACAACTGGGGGGCTTCTAAGGGATGCTGTCCTCTGTCTATCTATCTGCTGTGGCTAAAACTGACTAGATCAGGCCCTGGTGCAGGATCCTAATAAAAGCAATGAGAAGATGACCACTCCTGAGAGGAAAAGAGGATCCGAGCCTGTGGCTGTCCCTTCAGGAGTCGCAATGATGAACCACTGTTTCAATTCCCTCACAGGCCACCTGGCAAATCCCGTGCCAGGAGACGGAGGGTAAATGGGAATGACATGGGGGCCGCTGGGAAGGTTCCCAGGAATTCCCAACTACCTATGTTTTCTTCCAGTAAACTTTCATCACCTGGGCTAACAGAAATATGCCTCTCACTTTTCATGCTCTATCACTGACATCAGAGGAACTGAGAAATTTAAAAAACAAAACAAAACAAGACTGGAGACATTCTGAAGTGGACAAGAACTGAACAAGAGGTAAATTTGGGGAAAACGAAAAAGGTATCTAACCAATTAGGAAATGCTGTTATTTTCTTCAG